CCCCCAAACAGATCAGTGGATCAAGAAGGTATGGTATATATACAAAAAAGAATACTCCTCAATGATCAAAAAAGATAAATTCATGCCATCTGTGGCATGAATGGATGGAGTAGAAAGGGATTGTGCTAAGTGAAATAAGCCAGGACAAAGAATAGTATCATAATGTCACTTGTATGTGGAATACAGAGAAATCAAACAAAAGGCCAGGTAAAGTCAAACTTAAAAACTAACCCTTGAAAGCTGATCATAGAACTTAGGGATCCAGAGGGGAAAGGGTAAAAAACAAGTGAGGAGATGGCACAATGGACTATGGTGAAGGACTATGGGTGCTTTGGGGGTAGGTGTGCTATAGAAACTACACCTTAAGGGGGGGGTCCTATATTTCCAAAATACTAACAATGATGTGATACAATAGAACTTCAATTAAAAAGTGAAAAAAAAAAAGCCATGTGACAACAGAAGTAATGTTTGGCATGTGCATATTCAAGCCAAGGAATACCTAGCATTGCCATAACACCCAAAATTAAGAGAAAGGCATGGAACAAGCTCTCCCCTAAAACCTCCAAAGAGAACATGACCCTATAGACACCTTCCTTTTGGACTTCTAGTCTTTAGATCTATGAAAAAATAAATTTCCATTGTTTAAACACCCAGCTTGTGGTACTTTGTTATGGTAACCAGCCATTTCTAGAACAAGTTACCTGATCATTAATGCCCCAAGTCTGATGATTTCTGTCCACACTCTGCTTGTTCAGCAATGTCCAGACTTCCTTGCTGTCTGGATTACTGATAAATGCTCTTTTCAACAGCTACTACTAATTTTTCCCAAGAAGTTCCAGTTACTTTTTCCACTTCTGGCTCACTCCAAAGAGTTCCAGAGGTTTATGAAATGTTTGGAAAACCAGAGGTTTCTTTTTTCAAAAGGAAAAAGAACTCTCTCATCTTAAACCTCTCTCCCAGAATGACCTTAAAAGGCTTGAAATTATAGGTTATTGTGGATAGCTAAAAAGCTCATATTTGAAGACTTGTTTGGGGAATTTCCCTTCTGGGGATAAGACTGGGAAAAGGAGACAAGAGACATTCCTGCTTTAGGTTGGCTCTCAACTGCTGTCTTTTAGGGTGGGGGGGGGGAGGGAAACAGTAAATGGCTTTATCTACAGAGAACTAGGGAAATCAGGAACATTTTCTTAAATTAAAACCACTGGCCTAGCAGTTGACTCAGAGTGAACACTAGAGTTTTCTTCCCATATACATCTAATCTGAGTCAAGTCTTTTATATGTTCTGAATAGATGTAATTATTACTTAAAGTGTGCAAGTGGCTCTTCAAAGATTCCTCACAACCATAAAATCTAATTGGTCTATAACTGTATGAAGAAATCCTTAGCCATCATGTCTTCTCATTTAAGTGAGAGAATTTAATGTGTCTTTTCTCCAACATTGGTGCATAGGTCTTATTCATGAGCCTGGTTGATTCTTTAGATTTCTACTTTGCTTTTAACTAGAAGTGACTTCAGCTTTTACATTTTGTTATGTGTGCTTATGGCTTTATCTTCCAGTCATTGTCATCATGGATGGAAATTATATTTGTGCAACTCTTTAGTCTCTAGAAATTGAATAAAAAGATTTGGGATTTGGTTTCAATCTTGGCCATTCCTTTCTTTAACCAAATGAGTAACCCACCAGAGAAGTTAGGTGGGAGAAGTGGGGGTCACACCAAAGTTTTTCTCCCACATGAAGAATTTGGGGGTGAACTCCTAAAAAAACAGAGAAAAGGGAGGTTTACAACTAGTAACATTAGCAATCCTGGTAGTAACACACTTGAGTGAAATACATACCACTCCTCTTCACAAAATATGCTTAAAATTTAACCTAAGTTAGTTGATTAGTCTAGGGAAAAAATAGCTTCTGGTATATGACAATTTACTACAAAAAAAAATCATATATTACATGTGGCTATTTAAATTTTAAATTATCATTTAATGAAATTAAAATTTTCCCTATTTTCATCTTGATAGCCACACTTTGAATGATTAATACTCCCCTGTGTCTAGTGTTTAGATGGTGCAGCTATAGGCTTTATCCAGAAGCTCAAGGAATTCATAAAGGTCTCTCAGCTTTGCAACAGCATACATACATTCTTTCATTAAAAAAAAAAGTTAAAGTTTACAGTAGTAAATAATGAATGTATCATTTTTTTGTAATTAAAAGTATATGGTAACAATTCTGTTTATCAGAATTTTCAAGTTATGTTTTTCTCTAATTTTCTATGCCTTTCTAATTTTCTATGTAAAGAAAGATGGTCTTGGCATTTCATTGTATAGTTAACTTGAGTCTGCTCTCTTTGTCTTGGAAATATAGGTGATTTGGTGTTTAAATGTGAATTATTCTTAAAATATAATGAAACACCATGAAATTAATAAAATTTTTAAGAATACCATTGTTCAGTGTTTATAATTTCAATCCTGTTTGAATTTAAAAGCTATTTTAAAAAAACAAGCATGAACATATGTAATGAAAAACTAAGAAATTTTTTATGGCTCATAAAATGAAACAATACTTACATAGTTGACATCAGGTGCCATCCCAATTTGCACTGACCATATGCTTTGTTTTGTAACTCACCATATTTTGAACTATATAATAGAGTTAGCTTAACAATATTCTGATGACAAAGACATTCCCAAGTTAGTTTCAAGTTTATGAAGCAGTAACAATACAATTTCTATGTTGTTGGCATATTAGTAAAATCTTTAAAATAAACTAATTCTCCATATAGATATGGATAAAAGTAAGGCCATGGTTGTCAAAAGTAAGACAGCAACACCAGTGATTTGTGGTTGCCCTCATTTAAACCCTGACATTTCTGTTAAGTAAAACTATACCCAGACACCCCCTCCCGGTATATGTTCCATTGGAGAGTGTGGATGACTCAGAGAAACTCACTACCTTTCTGGTAAAAAGCATATGTTTTCTGAACACTGAGTCAATAGTTTCTTCTTCCTACATGACATAACTCATTTCATCTGATTCACTTAGAGGTTGATGAGCATAAACACAAACTAAAATTAGACTAAAAATTCATATAAACACACTGTCCTATTCATGTTTTTCCTCAAAGAAATATACTCTGTAAAAACAAGACAATCTTTAACGAGTGTTTAATGACTGCCATGAGAACTTAATCACTCTTTCACATTTAAATATAGTGTAAAACATAAGGAGCTTTATGTATATTAAGGCATGACTGAATAGACTGATAGAGGACAAAGAACAGAGAATCTTTGAATGAAACTCAACTCTATTTCAATTCAACAAATACTAAATGAGCAACTATTGTATGGCATATGTACTACATAAAAGGGTTGAGAGTTGGACATGGGCTAGTAAAGGTAAAGATTGAAATTAAAAATACAATATTTTTAACACATGAATCAAAATTAGCTAGGTTTTTAAAGTATAAACTGCTCTTTCTACTAAACATGAAAAAATGTATACTATCTAGTAAATAAATTTTATTGATCTGAATTAAATTTTTCTCTGTAACTTTTCATTAAAAAGTGAAGGAGAGGTGGCTGGGACATAGTGTGCAAAGAAACCACTCAAACAGAAAACTCAATCAAGTCAATGAGAAATTTCTATAATGTTAATGTGGAAGACCTGTTACATATTTTTACTAAACTAATGTTCATAGTGGTTATCTACATGGGTATTTTTTTTTATTAAAGTATGCTGTTTAAAGTATTTCTCATGTGGAAGAAGTTTGAAGATAGAAGAGAGGCCCTTAACAGAAATATATAATATAATGATTTCATTTTAATCTAAGATGATATTGTCAAAATATAAACATCAAATTGCCTTATTTAAAAAGAGAGCAAAATGTATTTTGAGTTATATAACTTAATATGTCTAACTTTTTTTATCATTTTAGTAAGGAACATAATTAGTATGCTCACATTCTATTAAAATAAAGAATACTTTAGCACCAAACCTCAACAAAATTCCTGGCATATACCAAACTAATAATGCAATAAAAAGAGGGAAAAAATAGAGAGCATCAAGAATACAGAAGAGAAAATTTAAACTTTCACCTCTAACTTACTTTAACTAAATTGTGTCAGCAAAGTCTCCTTATGCACTGAACCTGCATAACCAAACTTTATCTTTTTTATTTTTCTCTTTTCATTGAGTTAACAATGGTTTACAATATTGTATATAATTCAGAAGTACAGGATCATGTGCCTTCAGGGTATGTTCCCACAACTCAGCCATCACTGAGGCACCACCCATAATCCTCCACCATTGAGCATTGGGCATCTTACCCCTCTTCCTCCCTGGTAGCCTCAATTCTACAGTCTGATTTCTAAGGTTTGTTATTGTTTTGGTTTTGTCTGACTTTTTGTTTTGTTTCTCTATATTTTGAATATAAGTGAAATTATACAGTATTTATCTTATTCTTTCTGATTGATTTCACTTAGCATGATCCATTCCAGCTTCATCCGTGTTATTTTAAGGGGCAAGAGTTCACCTTTTTGTAATAGCTTAGTATTCTATTGTGTCTGCATACCACATGGTCCTCATCCACTCATGTGTCTTTGGACACCTAGGTTGTTTCCATAACTTGTCTAAATAGGTAATTCTGCAATGAACATTGGGATGCATATATCCTTTATATATTATTATTATTATAACATTATATAAGTATTATAACATTATATTATTATATAGTAATATAACATGTTTTATTGTATATTATATATAATATATATTATATTATATAACTATGCAAGCTTCATTATTATTATGTTATATTATTATAACATTATATAAGTTTCAAGTGTTCATTGTTGAAAATCAATATGTGTGTATACTATATTTAGCTCATCACTAGAAGTCCAAATTTATTCTTCCCTATGACATTATCCCCTTTTTCCTGGTTTACTCACCTCAACTCCTGTCCCTCATGTCTTTTGGTAGCCACTAACAGATCTCACAGCCCAAAAAGATATAAGGAACCCTTACAAATTTTCATGCCATCCTTGTATAGGAGATTTGCTAATCTTTTCTGTATCATTCCATTACTACCTTCCAATATGACCAAAGGTAATTAGTTTAATAAAATCTATTTATAAACAATGTGTCTTTTTCCAAAGGTAAAACTGCAAATGTATTTGTAATACAGAAAAAATATTCTTTGATATTTTTTGTCTGTTGGTTCCACTGGCCTTCACTTTCCCAACAACCTACAGTGAAACTATAGTATGGTTAATATTGTGCTTCATATTTTTACCTATCAAAGAGAATTTATTATTTCCTATGTTGTTCTTGAATTACTTTCTAATCATAGTTTCTCCACCTAGATTTAAATGTCCTTACAAAAAGGGAAAATTCTTTTAGGCTTTTGTGTACTCCTAGGCACTGAAAACAGTATTAAGCGCATTGCAGGACCTCAAGTAAATATTTCTTGGTTACTGACTCAGTTTTAATCATTCCATTTCATTTGCTTGGAATTTAATGTGTATGCTTTGATTTGAGATAATATTTCATTTTATTTATTTAAAGTATAACCAATAAACAAAGTATTATGAAATCACATCAGGAATTTCACAGATTTTCTGTGTTCTTTGTTTGGGATCTTAGACTGGAACATAACTTTGGCATTCCATGAACATTAAAAATAATACTATTAGACATTGAAGTTTCCAAAACTATATGAGGCATATCCTTAAAGAAATTGACACCATAACTACTTTGGGAAACACCTATCAATGAAGTTATTTTGTCATCAGTTGCATCTACATGTTAAAATATGTCCAAAAGACTAATTCAATTATGAATATTTTTAAAAAGTTTTTAACATTGATTCAAAGGGAGACTCAAGATCACAAAATCAGAACAATTGAGTAGGATAAATAACAATAATAGTAAAAAAAAGAGAGAAAGAAAAAAGAAAACAAGCAAGAGTCATTTGTTGGGAGGGGTACGGCAGCAATTGGTAGATGGAATAGGCAAGATTCAAGATAAACTCTGCAACTCATCATGTTGGCCACCATGCTGGCTCTGCATTGCCCAACCCCAGGGGGCTCCATGCACACAGACTCTGATGGGAATGGTACCCTGAGTTGTAGAACTTTAAGACCCTAGATAATCATAAAGAACCAAATCAGTTGAAATGAACAGGCCTGTATCTACATAGCAAATTAATGGAGTCACCTATGATAATTTATGATAATTTAATTTAATTATAAAATACTAACATATTGTTTTATGACCATGTACCTCATAATTTTTTCCCATATCAAATAAATGGCAAGACTTTTGTGTTTCCTTGATTTTAGATGAAAAGACTCTTCTTATCTTTCTTACTTATCTTTCTTACAAGTATGTGCTTATTAAAGACTGTCTTTCATATCCAAAGAGGTGACCAGGAGAGAAATAAATTTATTAGGAAGGAGAGAGGTTACGAAGGAGAGCGTAGCTGTGGGATCTCAAGAACATTGAAGCATCACTCTATACAGTGCATTCACACCAGAGAAGTATTTCAGAGTGTAAGATCGAATAGTAGCAGATGAACTGCAAACATCAGAGCTCTCAGCCTAAACAAGACTTTGGCAGTCCTTTGACCCATGGACCATAAAGGCCTAAGCAGCCTGTAGGTTCCCCTGGCCATTCCTAAAATATCAGTAATTTCTCAGGAGGACTGGGAGCAGAGGCTTGTTCTTTATTCTGGTGTGACCCTGGAAAAGGACCAAGTCCAGAAAATAACTGAAATTGAATATGCAGCATGTTTATAGAGTGCAGACTCCTAGCCAGGTCTTAGTTGAGACCATTTAAGTGAGTCTTCTTTCTCTCTCAGTCACATGTACAAGAGTATAGAAAAATCTCAAGTACCTCACCACCAACATTGTTCCATAACAATGAAACGTAACTTTATTTTCCCTTGTGTTAATTGTCGGTACGGTGGCCCCTCAATAGCTATCACATGCTCCTTGCCTAACAGCTAACAAAAGTGTCACTTCACTCTATTTTCTCCAAATCAATAAAGTAAGTTTTATCACCTTAAGGGAAAAAGAAACTATTACCTGACTGGACCATTTTAAAATTAGTGGAAGTAATTTGATCAAACTTACATACAAATAAATGCTGCCTGGATGCAAAGCTAATGAAAATATCTTTTTTTGTTTGTCAATGACAACAAAATGGAAATAGTTTGAGGGAATTAAATGTAGTATAAAACAGTCAGAATGGCAAAAACAAATATTGTCTGTTTACATAGTATATGATTCAACAAAGCAAAATACTTATAAAAACTAGTGAACACTATGAAGTGAGACTTCTGAGGTTAAAAGGAAGAAAAGAAGAAGAAAGGGTCAAAGGGTATAGAAATGGTGGTAGGAAAAAAACAGATTTCTGAGATTTGGGGGAACTTCAAAAAATAAAAAAATAAAGCTTTAAGGCTTAAAAAAGAAAATACTTTTTTGGTCAATAGAATTCTCTAAAAGAATGACTCAAAGACCGCAGTAAGTACCCTCTCTGCAAATAAGCAAATTGTATTACAGATTTTAATCAGTATCATATGTTCACTACTAACAAATTAAGTAGACCTTCCTCTCTCTTTATTTTTTGTATTTATTGATGCAATATAGTCAAAATAAGGGGATTATTTAATAAAACAAATTTCAGCACAGTTTAGTAGTGAGGTAAATGTAAGGTGACTTACATTTTATTTTGTATTTTACTTTATATGTCTTTAGCATTTAATTCTTTAGCCTCAATAAATGAATATTTTACATTTATTCTTATTTGAGATCACAAATGCTATTGATTTGAAAACTACTTCATCTGTACTTTACCTGTCTTCCCTCATTCCTTCACCTCAAAGGAATAGATAAACAAATAAACAGTAAGTAGTATAGAAATGTCCCTCACCTGGTAACATAGTATTTTGAACATATAAATGGAATAATATTATATTTAAAGTAAGGCTTTAATAAATAAAATAATAATTTTAACATGGAGCATACCAAAAAGGAAAATATTAAAGGTTAGCACTGGAGTTTTAGAAGCGAACTCAATGTAGTATATACACTTGCTGATTTTTAATGATGTAAATCGGTAACATATAATGCTATAATGCAATGTTACTTCAATAAACAATAAGCAGTAGGAAGCAAAAAACAGAAAAGAAGAAAAATGTATGATATGTTCTTTTCTCCTGTGCTCTAAACAGTAATGAAATGTCATAAAAATATCAGTTTGGTTTTTACCAACTGATAAATAAGAGATATCATTTAGCAATATGGTCCTGGGATTCCACAACCAAACACAGGGCAAGAACCTAATACAAATTTTAAGGGAAGAATCCTTTCCTGGGCTAGGAACATCTTCCTATGTGGTTTGTAAGAAAGGGAGAGGCAGGAGGGAAAAACAGGAAAAGGAAGGAACAGACAAATAGACATGGAACGGAGGCAGGAAAGAAATGACTATCTTGAATATTTTAAGTACATTTTACCTTTAAAAATTAGTGAACTTAAACTTCCCCAGACCGTTTCACTTCATTCATCTACACCATTACTCACCCACTACATGAATTCAGTCTTCATTCCCCTCTGGATTTCTCAATCACAGAGACGGACTTGTGTATGTCACACCAAGCATGCTTGTACTTCAGTTCATGCTTTTCCCTTACGGTCCTTTTCCATTCCCTTCCAAAGTTTCTGTCCCACTGTACTGCAAATTATATTATGAACCTCATAAGTTCTGGGACTCACTTCCATTTTTACCATACCATCTTTCCCATCAGCTGGGCTTTCTGGAGGGCAAAGACCATGTCTTATTTATTTTCGTACCCTAGATGCCTAGGACCACATACCATGACTGCTTTATAATTGTTTGAATTAAACAAATTTAAATTCCACATTTTGAAATTCTGTATTTCTTTCATGATAGACCTCAGATGCATCATCACTGTAAAACCAGCATCCCATGGTCCTATCTACTTTCTCTTTCCTGCTCTCTCCTGACCCATTTTTAATACACTTTGTTGCAGCACTTGGTTCCTCCTGCATTGTGGCATACTGGTGGTTTATGTGTCTTTACCCAATAATTTGAAATAAATCTTGGTCAGAGTAGATAGAGTTTATTTGCAGCTCCTCACTGTTACAGTAGCTGCTATTCCATCACATAATATTTTCTGCTATCAACTCTTCCCTGTGGTTTTGGCATTTTGTGTAACAGTTCTAGATCTCTCATTATCCCTAGTGTGTTGACTTTTTTTTAATTAACATGTTAATTATAGTCTTGGGGTGTCAAATGGTGAACATGGATTAACAAAAGACTAAACCAAAACAAACCTTAGAAATTTGACTGTAGAGTTGAAGTAAACAGATGTGATTTATGAGTGTTTTGGTGATGGTGTGGTGTGGTGACATACTAGGGTCTGCGGTTGGTGTGCTTTAGGGTTACCAGACTAAGCTTAAACTGGGCAATTTGAATCAAAAGGTGCAGTGTTTTGGTAATCTTTGTGGGGGTCTTATATAAGAGGTGCACATAAGAGATACCCAGGGGGGTTGGGGAGAATGATCACCAGGGTTGTTGGGGCAGGGAGATGTCATAACAGAAACTTACATTTTCTTGTGCCTCTAGACTGCTCGCTACACATGCATACCCTGGGGACGCTAGTGACAGCTTAGGGCTCCTGCACTGGTTTGGTCAAACAAAACTGACGCCACAGCAAAAATACTATCAAGTAGAAGAGACACCTAGACTCTCTTCTAGTCTTTTAAATGGCAGCTGCACTTAAACTTCTTAATCCAAGTTTTCTCTGCAACCTAGGATATAATGGGAGTTTTTCCTATAATTGTGATAATAGACTATTAGACCTGTATTAATATATCCTGAGGTACCCTTAGGATATTTCAGAGTCTCTTTTTCTTATTAAATAATGATTAAAAGTTGTCTTTAACATATCATACCACTTTTTTTTTTTTTTTGGTTGGGAGCAGGTTTCAATCTATAATTCTATATTCTGTCTCTGCATTACTCTGAGTGAATTATTTGAGTGAAGAATTTGCTGAATAAATTGTTGAAGGCATGCATTCATTATGGA